TCACTTCACGTGGCCGATGGAGGTTATCTACGTTTGATGGCCACTGAGGCGGCCAGGAAATATAGACAACGCCCTTCGGCGCATAGAATTGACGGTGAAAAGAATGTACAGGCACCTGACATTTAGTATTTTCCTTGTTTAGAATTCTAAAGCAGAAAAGAAATCAGGAGGAGACAATTGAAGGTACTTACAAAAGCCGAGGTAACCTCCTGTGGAGGAATGTGGAAGCCTTGGTCCTGAGGATGGACCGGCGATTCCGCCGTGGCCTCGGGTTCCTCGAGCAGCCGTTTGCCACGGTCGGCTGCCGATGGGCCGACTGGCGCAGCTGCTTCAGAGGAGGCCGGGACGTCCTGGTCCTGAGAAGGAACGAGAGGTTCGGCCACCGGGGTCGGTTCCTCGACCGTGCGCTTGCCACGATTAGCTGAGGAGGGGCCGGTTTGAACCGCCATCTCGGATACTGGAGGAGGTTGTCGACGAGTATGAGGACGATGCGCCAGCGGGACCTCGTCGCTCCCCTCACTCTCTTCCAACACGAGGACCGAGGGCTTTGGATTCTTGGGAGATGTTCCCTCGGTCGTAGAAACCGCCTGTTGTGAGACAGGTGCCTTCTCGATAGAGGGAGGTACAATTGATGCGCCGGCCACAGAGGCAGGCCGCGCTGGGGCCGTCTCTGCGGCCGAAGCCGGCTGTTTCTCGACCCCAGAATGACCGGCGGCGGGAGAAGGGGAAGCACTGGGAGTCGTCGTGTGACTGGAGATAACGTGGATCTCGCGTGCACCTTTCTTCGCCATTTGTTTAACCCGCTTAGCAGGCGGGGAAGGCTCGACAGCCGGCTCGGCTTCTTGGCGAGGCCGTTTGATCAGCACGGCCCTACCAGCGGGTTTGTCCTTTTGGGCCACGACCGATTTTTTCCCGGCCGTGGCAGCGGCAACTGCCTCCGTCTTTCTCAAGGGCTGACTACCTAAAAAGATAAAGACAATTCAGTAAGGCAAATCAATATGCAAGGTTGATGGAAAGGAGGAAAATGGAACAGGTACCTTGAGGATGAGGGGCCGAGGCCTTCTTAGGCCGGTCACCGAAGAGTCTGCTAAGCACATCTTCGACCGGCGCACCAAAGAATTCCTGGGTGTATTTCTCCCACCACTCACCAAAGGTGTCGGTGCAATGGGTTTCCGGGGTGGCTGGTCGAAGGCGGAATTTTTGGCAGCGCTCTTGGAACTCCCTCACGGCGGTTCTACACTCCTTCTCAGAGGAACGAGGTTCGCGTCCACGGCTTAGGACCGTTCGGGAGGAGAGAAGGGGGATAGGGCAGCCCTGAAGGTAGCCGAGCTGACGGGCAAGGAAGTTCGGATGATATACTTCCCAACCTGACCGTTTCCCATCACAGCCGAGAGGGAGGTCGCGAGCAAGCACAAACGACCCCCAGGTCTGACGAAGATCGGCGTCCTCCTCCGCACTCCATGGGGAGGTAGGCAGCCTGATGGAGGAAGGATAGTCTCGACGACGACATATTAGGTACCGAAATACCTCTTCGGCTTGATGGGGAGGTGTCGGTCGAGAGGCCAGTTGAGGCCCAAGCGCCTCTGTTGGTGAGAATTCAGCTATGGCCGGCCGAAGGGAGGCGAAGTATACCTGCAACCAGAGTTGGAAGACCCAGAGAGGACCATTCTGGTGTGGGTCGACCTTGTGGAGGGTCGCCTCGGCCAGGCAGCGGAAAAGTTGGGCGAGAATGTTGGAACTCAGCGCCAAGACGTGACCACTAGCCAGGGCTTCGGCTACCGGCATGTTCTCGACCAAACACTTGTTTGACTTGGTACAACAAATGTATTTGTTGTACCAGTAGAAGAGGAAGGCTTCATGCTCTCCCTCTCGCAGGTCCTCTTCTCCTCGGCCGGCGAAGTGGAGATAGAGGGTGTTGTAATTACAGAAGTTCTTGTGGAGCTTCTGAATATCTTCCTTCGACGGGATATGACCGTCACGGTTCAAGGTCTCGGAGGCCCGACGGTCGAAGAGCGTTTTCAGGTCGATATTCGAAGGATGCCCAGAGAGGGTCGTGTCGACAGGGATCCCGGTCGCCGAAGTCCCCAGAATGGCAGTAAGATCCAGGATGGTAGGACCAATGGGACCCAGAGGAAGGACCATTGTGTTGGTGGCCGAGCACCAGAAGCACAGGGCGGCTTGGAGAAGCTCCTTGTCGGGGACGATTTCCATAGACGAAAGGAGGATGGCGTCGTAGATGCCAAGGGCCTTCCATTGCTCGCCGAAGAATCGTTCCATTCGAACGACCCAGGCTGCCCAGGATGTGGTCGTCGAGGGCCAGGAGCCCTGGGGCTTAGCCGCATCCCATCGCGACCATTCAAACCCTTGAAGCAAGGGTGTTAGGCAGTGCTCCTGTAGAAGGCCGATGATAGTCGGCGGTATTGAAGCCTTGAAGAGAGGACCCAAGATTTGGTACTGGGTGCTCATGTCGTTTTCAAACCGGATGGTCTTGATCGAGCTCCGATAAAAAATCTTCTGATGTTGGTCACATTCCCTGGAAAGCTTGGAGATGAAGAACGCCATTGTGAGAAAGAAGCACGGAGTAGAAGGGTTGTCTGGGTTGGGGATTTAAAGACGAAGACTTGGAATAGGAGAAATGCACTAGAAATCAACGGCAGAGGATTTCAGGAAGTTTGAGAGCGTAAAAGTACAAATGAGGGAATTTCGGTATTTATAGAGTTATAGGGGGAAGAGCAATCGTTCGAAATTCAAAACAAAGGGCAAAGTCGACCGAAGGAATTGTTGATCATGATGAACATTTGGGAAATGCGGTTGAGAAGACCGAAGGTTAGGGTTTTGGGGGCGTATGATTGCGTGTGACGGCGAAATTAATGACGAAAGACGGTTCGACGCCCGCACGATGACAAGTGGGCTCACGGACTGAGGTAGTGGCTCGCGGATTGAGATAGTGGTCATGATGGCAAGACGGTTCAGGCTGCCGCACGCCTTAGACGTCATTATGGGGGATTGGCCATGTTAGAGGACGCCACGTGGCGAGTGGGTTAGCAGGTTCAAGATCGTGCGATCGTGCTCAATAAATGCGCCTTGGAACTCGGGTATTAGGATCCTGAGTGGTAGATTCGCTTCTTCAAGGCCGAAACTCGGCCAAAGGTTTCAGGCCGAGGACCTCAGAAGCGAGGGGGCAATGTTTGGGCCCAAAATAATAGTTTGGGCCGAGGGTAGGATCACTCTCGGCCCAGGAGGCCGGGCGGCAAAAGGACCATGGATCAGTCAACCCGTGGGAGTCCAAACCTAGGGCGGTTAGGACGAATCCTAGTGCAATGGGGAGTCTCGACGGGATCGGATATCCAGGAAACTAATCCAGCTTAGCTAAGGACTAGGTTCATAGTCCTAGTAGGTGTAGGACTGGTTGAGGTGATCCGGAGAGGGAAACCTAGTCCGAGTAGGATGTAAACTCGGACTCAAGGTTCAGTACTATAAATAGGGGACGCTGTGCATCAGGAAAAAGCCCCCTGCAAATCAATACAAAATTGCCCTGCGCAAATTCTCACAACTTGTGATTTTTCTTTTTCCTTTTTCGCTGACACATCTTCCGTTGGCATCAACAGCACTGTGGAAGCAACCGGTGATATCTTAAGTCGGCATAGATAGCTCTGTCACCGTAGAGTTAATCGGTCTCGCAGTATCTTCCGTTGGCATCAACAGCACTGCGGCGAGAACGGTTGATTACCTATCCAAGTCTCGGTCGAGAAGGGTTTCTAAATCCTTATTGGTCGAGGTCATCTCATCAGCCTTCTCGGCGAAGTGAGGTGTTACAGTTATTACATTCGGCACATTGAAAGCCGAATTTAATATTGAACTTCGTAAGAATAGTAACCTTGTCTTCAGGTTCGAGAGCCCAAGAGGCCGAGACGTGTTCCTTTCTCGGCCGCAATCGCAAGACGCAGAAGTCAGTGGCGCGACCCAACGCAACATCAACAAATTTACTCCTCGGCCGATCTCGGCCGACGAGTTGGCACGGCCCGCATACACCGAATGACATAGTTAGCTCATTAATTACTCGGCCTGCGCGCCACGTAGGCTTGGTAGTTTTTAGGGTCAACAAGTGCATACCCAGAAATATGGAAAGTTCCAAAGAACATTATATTTTAGAAACTTGTGTTCGAGTTTCGAATTTCAGAGTTAATATAACAAAGTCAACCTTGAATACAATAATTTAAAAGAGAAAGGAATATGTATCTAAATAAAAAGTAATCGATGAAAAAATGGAGAAATATGCATGACCCTTGGAAGTAAGAAAGTGGCTATATTTGGAAGCCTTTTTGATGAATTCCTCAACAATCTAACGCAACTCAAACACTGAAGCTTAAAAGAATGGGAAACCATTCACCAAGTGGACTATGTTTTACACACAATAAACCATTGCAACATGCTGTCACTCTATAATTCTTATGCAAAATCATATGACACGCAGACATGACATTCTACATGCTCATGCTATATACTTATATGAAGAAGAGTCAATATGGTGTGTAAAAACAAATTCTTAATAAAAGAAATAGCCAATTCTAATTGATAGAAACCTTATAGTTCACATTCACGGATAAACTGTTAATAAAAAAAGCCAGCCATGCAACTGTTAATAAAAAAGCCTTCAATCTCGACATAAGATTTGATATGTACATACAAAAGATACTTCGCATAAAGCAAACAAATATCCACTCTCTATCTAACTAAAGAAACTGAAACAAAGTAAAGCAAATTATATACCTCAAAATGTCAAGTAACCAATGTGTTACACAAATACAATCAAATAAGCTGCCAAAAGAACATTAATAAATGAAAATTACAAAACAAAGAAATAATGAGAAACCAAAATATGCATCTCAAAATCTAATCGCTTTATAGCCTGCTGGCCATTTTTAGTTCTTGAATTTAGACAGTTAAACCATGACTCAGCACATGAATGAAGCGAGAGCTTAAAAGTAAGTGGAATAAGCTAAAAGTCATCCTCGAGTCATGCATTAACTTTCAAACTGTTCCAAAATAGCTAACATCTTTAAAAAATGAATAACTAAAATGCTTAAGTTAGCCATAGGAAGCCTTCAGAACAAAGTTAAACATGACGAATGAATAAAATGACAGACAGATTTAAACAGCATACCAAAAAAGGAGTTGCAACGCTGAATTCTTCTCGACTTACCTATTTAGTGAGTTATTGGACCTATTTAGAGACTGGACTGAAATGAAGCCAACTCTGCAACAGAGAAACAAATGAAAAAGTCAAAATCCAGAAATCCAAGTTTAACTCAATCAAATATCATAACCAATGAAATTTGCAAGCTGCAAATATTCAGCAATGTAGACAAAGAAATTTGTTTCTCAAAGACTTAATTGGTCCTCTACTTGATTAATTGTCGTTTGGGAAAGGAAATTTGAGACAACACCTCATCAAAGAGAACCATATATGCATTTAAGTCATGGTACAATGGGCGGCCTTCGCTGCTGCAGTGATCTAATGCTTTGGCAATGTTCAGAGCATCTGTGAGTCGTACAGCCCACTCAATGGTCTGATTCTCCCCTGCTAAGGAAGTGTGAGGTGAATTTATACCTGCAGCGTTTTGAAAAGCTACAGGCAATAAATTTCAGAGGTCACTTGTCAAGAATATGAGAACGGGAAAAGCAAAATAGCAGTCACAATTTGAAATGAAAATAGCACACGTGTAGATAATAAATCAGCTTTGTGAAAGTGGTTTGAGATCAGAATATTATGCTCAAGCAGACCAAGGCCTAGTTTGGGACTGAGGTGCTTAAAAAAAAAAGCTCATGTGAAAAAAAGCTGTGAGAGTTTTAGGTGTTTGGTAAACTGAAAAAAAATGGCTTATTTTGGAAGCTGCTGTGAGAATAAGCTGAAATCAAAGGAAAAAGCTGAAGCTGCTATTTGCAGCTTTGAAAAACTGGCTTTTTTCAAAGCACACGGAGCTACAGTGCTTCTTTAATGAAAAGACCCACTATCATACTGCTTTTTTTTCCAAAAGCACTTTTACAAAAAAGTTTACCAAACGCTCTGCTGATTTCTTTCACAGCCGCTTATTCACACAGCACAGCCGCTTATTCTCACAGCAGCTTTTTTTCAAAGCACAGCAATACCAAACCAGCCCCAAATGCATTCTTCAAAACGATGAATGACTAAAAAAATTAATATCTTATGTAAAAACTTCAAAATCACAACTCTCTTATACTGGATCAATGTTTTGCTCTGAAATCTCTATTTTAGACTTAGTATCGAGAAACGAAAAAGTCTTAAATGCAAAAGATAACTCATTCATCACAAAGCAACAATACATTTGCAGTAACTGTTTAAATCAGAACATATGATTATTATGAACTGCAGCATTAGCATTCTAATTAGAAACTTGTTGCCATAAAATTGAACATTTCACTACCGTCTTTGATCGCATTAAACAATCCGATTATCGATAATTACCTAAGTAGAAGCTTGAATTTCTCTGGCAGTCATATCCAAAGCAAGTGCATAACCTTACACCATCCGATTGTCGCTAATTAGATTTAAACTTAAAACCAAATCATTAACAGCATCATTATATTAAAACTAAATCATTAGCAGCAGCATTACTAACTGATTAATTAAACTAAATCATTAACAGCAACATTATTAACTGATTAATTAACTGACCTTCAAAAAATAAAATAAAAAGCGATTAATTAACAAATAACAGTAACGAAAATTACAAATTTACCCGCAACGTAATCCATGGCGGTGGATTGCGGAACGTCGCGAGGTTTCTGAGAGATGATCACCGCCACCTCATGGTCCAACGATAACAGAGGGTGAGGGACTTCGATCGGGCCGCCGTTCATCATGAAAGACAACGTCGGTTTGAGGAAAAGCACGGGCTCCCTAATAAATCAGAATTAAGAGAGGAGTGAGGAAGAGGAGAGAGAAAGAGGTGGGTTCTCCCATTTCACATAGTTTACTTTGTATACGTATAAAGACAATTTGTTTCTTCACATAATCAGCTCAAATGTCCCCTTGCCAAAATACATTCTCCAACTGAAATAGGTTTACGAGACTCTAAGTATCCCCTTTTTTTAAACCATATCTAACTAATTTCATGTCATTTCCGAAATGGCCTATCTACCCTTTTCTGTCAGATACAGATTTTTTTTTTTTTTTCCGAAAGTTAAGATTGTATTGAAATCAATAGGACTAAAGCCTAACCATTACATTGGCATCCTCTGCTAAAATATTAAATAAGAATTCAGGACCTAATTCATCCCAGCCAAATCTCCGGCCATGCTTAACAACGTACGCCGCGATCGAATGGGCAGCACGATTGCATTGACGAGGGGTAAAGCAAAACCGTACCACCGGAAAAACACAAGTCATCCTCCAAATATCTTGGATATAGACCTCAAGCTTCACATCAACTGTCGTCTCCTTATTGAGCATATTGATCAAGCCTTTAGAATCCGATTCCACCACCAAACATGTACTTCTCGCCCAAACCTCACTCCCCACCACCGACTCCAAGCCCCGTCTAATTGCCTCTGCCTCCGCCATAATGGCGTCCCCGAACCGTTCCCCTCCCATTCCTCCTGCGAGCAAAGGAAGACCGGCAAAATCCCTAAGGACCCACCCAACTCCTCCCTCTCCCGTGGCCTTTTTCCAAGCAGCATCACAATTCAACTTCAACGTGCCAAACAGCGGTTTTTGCCACAATAGTAGCCCTACCTCTTCTCTCCTTTCCCCCACCACGATACCATCACCATGCCTCACCCCTCCCTCCCCGCTGCCTACCCTACGTCCCCCCTGTACCCTATCCCGCCTATCACTGCCCATAGCCCCAGTGCCCCCTTCCAAAGTATCCGAAGCCGTTCGAACCTCCTCCACATGCCGGTGCCAAAGCTCCACAGCCACCCGTGGCTCCGTCGTCACCCCCTTGAAAACCAAGTCATTTCTGCACTTCCAGATACACTAGAATCCAAAAACCACCTGTTGCAAGATCAAATCCGCATCCTCCACATTCTCCAGATGCTTCACAACCAACTTCCAACCCTCCAAGAAATCCTGGACATCCAAAGCTGCCATATTCAATTGCATCGACGCTCCAAACCAAAAACTACGGCTAAACTCACAATTAAAGAATAGATGAGCCTCAGTTTCATCATTGACTCCACACAGCTCACATCTATTTAAAATATGAATTCGCCGACGTTCCAAATTATGCCTTACCGCCAACGCCCGCCTACCAGCCTTCCACATAAAAAACTGGAGCTTTGGCGGAACAGCGAGAAGCCAAATCGTCTTCCACAACCCCCCCAAGGAACCCATAGAACTCGACATCCCCCTCCCTTTCCTCCCAAACTCTCCATTTTTCATCATATCCATTGCAACATGATAACCCGACCTTACCGTATATACTCCGGTCTTTGTGTAGTGCCAAATTCTTTTGTCCGCACACCCATACCGACTAAACGGAATAGCGCGGATCAAAACCATATCCTCCGGTGCCACTCCCCTTTCTAACGCCTCCAAATTCCACCCTTGCCTATCCACCGTCATCAACTCACACACCCTAGTATTAGGATCCAAACTCTGCAACACCGGCTTAAACGAGTGGGGTTTGGGAACCCATGGATCAGCCACCCTAACCGTCTCTCCATTACCCACCCTCCATCGAAGCCCCCGAAGCATAATTTGTCTCCCCAAAAGAATCCCTTTCCACCCCCCAGAAGAGTTCTTCTGTTGTCGGGCCTCCTCAAACGAAGAATGTGGAAAATATTTATCCCTAAGCACCATACTAAGCATCGACTCCGGTTTGTCCATCACCCTCCACCCAATTTTCGCGAGCATGGCCAAATTAAACCCAACAAGGTCACGGAATCCCAACCCTCCCATCTTCTTACTCTCAGTCAATTTGTCCCATGCCACCCAATAGCATCCCCTAGTGTTCGGTTGATTCCTCCAAAAGAAATTAGCAATGACTCGCTCCATCTCTTTACACAAAGTCACCGGCAATTTAAAACATGCCATAACATGGTTCGGCATCGCCATTGCGACCGATTTGATCAATACCTCCTTACCTGCCGGGGACAAAAACTGTTCCGCCCATCCATCAATGCGACTTTCCATACCACGTCGTACAGATTCAAATACCGCCTTCTTCGAATGCCCAAAATCTGCCTGAATCCCCAAATACTTACCAAAGCCGTCTCGTGCCTGAATATTCATTCTCGACACAATACGCTTTTTAGTCTTCTTATAACACCCTTTCCCGAAGAAAATAGAACTTTTCGCCAAGTTAATAATTTCGCGAGCATGGCCAAGTTAATAATTTGTCAGATACATATTAGATTTTGTAGTAAATTCATGATGCAACTGTACCAATTATGACAATTTTAGAGTTTCCTGTGCACGATATCAACAAATTGTATTGCCTAACAATCTTTACCACTCTTTCCATTAAAAACTCTAACCACCAGGAATCTCGCTTCAAATCATGACAAAATGATTCATGAGCCTAATTAAAATAAATTAACACATTGACTGACTAAATGAACCGAGAATAAAGACATCTAAAATCTTATTAATTAAGTACAATTACCAGAAGAAGCTGAATAAAATGTCAAAAGTGATACATTGAGATAAGGTTGGTAGCTTCAAAATCACTAAGAAAATATGCACAAACCCAATATGCATCAAAATCACGAATACTTGATTTCACTTGCTTGTTAAAATATAAAAAATTCAAATAATATTTTCCAAAAACTTGTTTAAAGAAAACAAAACATAGTCACCTCTAAGGCTCTAACCATATGGTGCGGGTACTTCCTCTAAAACCCATGGATTAGTCTTAAAATCAAAATTTTTTACTCTTGATATATTCCTAACTACTAGGATAGCCTACGGACCTCACCAAAGGTAATAAGGCGGCATATGCAGTTACACAGGTAATAAGGCGGCACATGCAGTTACATCTTATTCTTTCAAAAAAAAAAAATGGCACTCATAGTTTGGGATTGCATAGGTCCTGAGTTCTTATTTAATATTTTTGTGGAGGATATAAACGTTTTAATTAAATTATAATAAATTTTATCTTTTGGAAAAAAAAAATCGAAAAATACTATTGATCTTAACCTAAATTAATTCTGCTTTAAGTCCTCAAGGGTCAACTTCACAAAAGGTAAACTTGTTATATATGTTCATTAAAAGGTGACGAAAAAGAAAAATATAGGGAAATTTGGAAAAGTAACCATATTTTAGACCCTATATATAATTATAGCCACTATTTTAGTTTTATGATAATTCTAACCAAAATTTGATGTAAAAGTACTAAAGTACCCTTAATATTAGGGTTTCTCACAACAAAAACTCCTTTAAACTCTCTCGCAACCTTTTGGTTTCTCACCTTAAACCAGATGAGCACCCTTTGCCAATTTTTCATGATATACCCTTAATTTAACAGCAATATGTGAATATGTATATCTACTCTATACATACATACATACATACATAC